AATGGCGGGGTGATAGCTTATACTTGTAAATATTGAAATATTTCGGTTGTTTCAGCAGTTTTCATAGAATAGAGCAGTAAACGGCCAATCGGCTTATTTTTTCATGCTCTTTCAGATAAAGCAATAAAATTTTTTATTGCCATTACCCTTTAATTACACCTAATTTTTATAGCCTTAAGTAATTATTTTTAATAAAGTATCTATCTATCGAACCCGCATTGTCAGAACGTCTCTGGCTTATGGAAATAACAGATGTCGAACGGATTGTTTGCCGATAAAAACGAATTATCGCATGTGCTATCAACTCTTTGAAAGCGCACGATGAAATACGCCAGCTAAAGTGTACTCTGTATACTGGTTTACTTTTCATGTTGAAGCAATAAAAGAACTTCTAACACTTTCTCGTTATTGTTGGGAAATGATACGCATTGTCTAGTTAGAAATTAGTGATTTACATAGTGATCTCTCTTTCGACTTAAAATTGATGGTGAATAACAAATGACGTCACACCAATACGAGCCTCGAGTCTCATATCTAGCGTATACAAAACGTTCTAAATTCTTTACAAGAAGTGTGGCAAGATTTACATTTGAAGTCACACAGGCGAAGACACTTGTATTTGATCAAGTCCTAGGACTGGATGATGTTCTGATCAAGTCCTAGGACTGGATGAAGTTTTGATCAAGTCCTAGGACTGGATGAAGTTTGATCAAGTCATAGGACTGGATGAAGTTTGATCACGTCCTAGGACTGGATGAACTTTTGATCAAGTCCTAGGATTGGATGAAGTTCGATCAAGTCCTAGGACTGGATGAAGTTCTGATCAAGTCCTAGGACTGGATGAAGTTTGATCAAGTCCTAGGACTGGATGAAGTTTGATCAAGTCCTAGGACTGGATGATTTCGAAGTTTTGATCAAGTCCTAGAACTGGATGAAGTTTTGATCAAGTCCTAGGACTGGATGAAGTTTGATCAAGTCCTAGGACTGGATGAACTTTGATCAAGTCCTAGGATTGGATGATGTCTGATCAAGTCCTAGGACTGGATGAAGTTTGATCAAGTCCTAAGACTGGATCAAGTTTGATCATGTCCTAGGACTGGATGAAGTTTGATCAAGTCCTAGGACTGGATGATGTCTGATCAAGTCCTAGGACTGGATGATGTCTGATCAAGTCCTAGGACTGGATAAAGTTTTGATCACGTCCTAGGACTGGATGAAAGTCTGATCAAGACCAAGGACTGGATGAAATTCTGATGATGACTGAAATATAGTCGAAACGTAGATAAATAAAAATGTTATCAATTTTTGGAGTTTTACTTGTTTTGTATTATAATATTTCCATCGCAAATGATCAAAGAACAAAACCGCATTTGCGTTTTTTGACAGATATTCTATTTGCTTTGATATAAAGCAGACAAGTTGACTCATCTAAATTTTGGGAGAACGGGAGAACAGATGCCTATAATTTGAAAAGTATGGCACTAAATAAAAAACTCGAACACGATTTTGCTCTGTACTATTGCTCAACTTTGTAGCGAAGTTTGGAGGGAATCGGATAAAACGTGCGCGTTTCTAGATTATTTTTGTGGGGACAATCTGAGAATATTTCAATCTCGGTAAAGACAATATTAAATTTGGCGAAGTTTTTCCGCTCTCTGTTATCACCGCGAACTGTAATCGGATTAAAATTAGTAAAGAGTGTGTTTTAGCATTCGCTGTTAGGCACTTAGGCCCTATTCACTCATTATCAGTTTATCACAAACCGTACATGCAAAAAACCACATAAAAAAACTTGCTAATATGCGGGCGAAACTCCAATGTAAAAAGGGGATAGCTATACAGACCGATCTAAATCAGCCAAACGAAAATGCAGTAGAAGATCTGTCGTGCACCACGATGACAGAAGCGAGGTTAAAGGTGACCCAGTATCAACGTCTATCCCCATATTGTCAATTACAATTACAACTTTCGCGGCAAAAGAATGAGTGGTTATAATATTTTTTGATCATATTTCGTACGCCTTTTAATATTTTTGAAAAAAACTTGCGGCAATCGAGAGATCTCCAGCCCCTGAATATAAATCAATAAAAATGTAAAAAATGATGAAATCAGTGTTTTCATCATAAAATGCAACCTTAATAGAGGTTCGACTTTATATTGCCCCATTTCTCTCTCCTGTAATTATACAGTGAGAAATCTATTAAAAAGCTTACCATGGCCGCCATTTTTTGGAACATTTCCAGCAATACAATGTGAATCATTCTTGCAACTTGCATCAGGAACGCCATATTCAGGACATTTTCCTTGTTTTTGTTCTGCCGTTGTTGTAAATATATTGTATTCCAGTCCTCGTTCTTCAAAATCCACAATAAAGGGTATATTTTCCTTGTATAGTGTTTTTGTAACATATCCATTTTATTCCAGCATTTGTTTTGTCTCTAAGATAACACGGTTTTAATTTTAAGGCAAGGTTTCCTAAACAAAGAAAATCGAGACAAAGCAATTAATATCTGATATTTATGTTAAATATATGGATTTATGGTGATCATTCATCATTTATCAAGATATGAACGAAATTTTTTCAACGTCATATTTTTACCCTGTGTATCACCGTATCATTGAAAAATAATATACTTATAACTACGTCATTTTTTTCTAATAAAGCAATTATATACTAATATAATCTAGCGATAGCGAGCGGTATTAGCGTGCATGGAGTAGAGCGAAAAGGCGGGCAACGAGAAATGGTCGCCTGTCACGAAGGCTACATGTGCCCTCTAGGGACTGGATGATAGGACAAAATGACGTTTCATTCAAGATTCAAGATTCAAAGATTTAAAGATTTATTTGCGCCAACAATAATAGTACATAGTTTAGAAGTATATAGTTACATAATTAAACAAATAATAGAAGCACAGGCTATTTGGAATAGCAAAGCTAATCTAGCCAAATAGTCCAGCATATTATTATTGGATTAATATATAATAGAGGGATGAGCAGATGGTTTTACTAAAATTTTAGAAACAGTATGACTGGCACAAAAACACAGAGACCCAAAAAAATAGGAAAGAAAACAAACAAACAAACAAACAAACATAAACATAAGTCATGTTCTAAAGTCAGTACGAGTTTAAGAATATTGAAATATTATGTTTCTTGAAATATTTTTTGCTCATTGCTTCAATGCTTGTCGTGTATTATATTGATGTACCTGATTGTTTGGCGTTTAACAAGTTATTAAAAGTGCACGAGGAAGAGTATGATTATTAAAATCGTGCGTAAACCGCAAATTTTGAAGAGAAATTGAATCTGAAAATTTTAAAATACCAAGAGCTTTGAATAATGGACTTGGGTGTTCGTCAAAATTAACAAAGGTTATAGTCCTCACAATTCTCTTTTGCAAAACAATAATAAGATTTAGATTTGATTCATATACGTATTACCCCACAATATCAGACCATAAATTAAATATGGATAAGTCAAAGCATAATATAAATTAACAAGAATTTCCGTATTTACATTTCTACGGATTTTAAACAGCACACCGACACTTCTTTTGATATTTTTAGCAACTTGATGGATCTGAGTATTCCAAGATACCAAGATATTTGATGTAGGATTCCTGCCTTATCACAATATCATTAATTTTAAGGCTTACAGTGTCAACACGTCTTTTTTGAGGGGAAAGAAAAATAACGAAATTAGTTTTTTGAATATTTAATGATAATTTATTGGCACATAACCAGGTATTTTAACAAATCCCAGGTTATTATTTATCTCAGCTTCTAATTGTTTCAGTTTTTTATGAGAACAGAACAAGTTAGTGTCGTCTGCAAATAAATGAAAATCAAAAGCTTCAGTGCAATTACAAAAATCATTTATATATATAACAAAAATAATAATGGACCAATAACTGAACCTCGAGGTACACCACAAGGAATATTACACGTGGAAGAAACAAAGCTTCCAATAGAAACAAATTGTTTCCTGTCATTAAGATAAGAGATAAACCAATCCTTGGCTACCCCTCTAATGCCGTAATGTTGAAGTTTTTCAATTAGAATATGACGATTAACGATATCAAAAGCCTTGCTTAAAACGCGAAATATTCCGCACGACTGGATAAAGTCCTAGGACTGGATAAAGTTTTGATAAAGTCCTAGGACTGAATGAAGTTTTGATCAAGTCCTAGCTAGGACTGGATAAAATTTTGATCAAGTCATAGGACTGGATGAAGTTTAATCAAGTCTTAGGGCTGGGTGAAGTTTGATCACGTTCTAGGACTGGATGAAATTTGATCAAGTCTTAGAATGGATTAAGTTTGATCAAGTCTTAGGACTGGATGAAGTTTGATCAAGTCTTAGGACTTGGATGAAATTTAATCAAGTCTTAGGACTGGATGAAGTTTGATCAAGTCCTAGGACTAAATGAAGTTTAAAAAAAATTCTTAGGACTGGATGAAGTTTGATCAAGTCTTAGGACCGGATGAAGTTTGATCACGTTCTAGAGGTGGATGAAGGTTGATCCGAGGGTTGATCAAGTCTTCGTTTCGGTTACTTTGTACGATTAAGAATTCTATGGTGCAAATTTATATGAGGGTATGGTCAAATGCGCATTACAGACTTTGATACCGAGCCTAAACTATTTAAAAAGAAAACAAGGCAGTGAAATTATATATTGCACGCACATTAATAGTGAATTGAATTACGTGTTATATCTCATTATATATTATATATTATAATTTACATTCCAGAACACTTGTGATATTAAGTTCTTTGAATGTTTGCATGGCGATAAAATATAATACTTGTGATATAATTATATATACTTGTGATATTGCTTTCTTACTGGGTTTAATCCTAACCCACCCTGTCAACTTTCCCCGTCTTCCCTGTGAGAGGAAATAGGACTGACCCGGCCGGGAAATATGAAAAATCAACGACTTTCGGCGTTGACCGACTCTTTTCTCATGTAAAGTGGGCACAAAGTGCTCTGACCGCCCGATGTGAGACTGACATCTGAGACTTCCGAGATCTTATATTAATTAACACGGCAACTTTGCGTGTAATATCGATATTAGAAATGCAAATAAAGTGTACAATATGTGATATATCGTATTTTAATAGCACATATTGTTTCATCTGATATCCTATACAACAGTGGCATTCCTTCGCTAACCGACACGAATTGCGAGTCATCATGGTGAACTTTTATAAAATAGGTAACTCAGTCGCTTCGGCACTTTTTGAATACAACACAAGCAAAATTGTTCACATCAATAGTAAGAAAGTTGGCTTCGTCAATCGATTGATACAACTGCTGATTATCGGTTATGTTATCGGGTACGTAGGTATATGCCATAGTCAATATTTACAGTCTAGCTTATAATGATTTTAAATAGCAATTTTGGTCGAATATCGTTGCTAACTTAGTTGCAGGAGGGATATATAGCATGTGGATAGCTCACACTTCCGCAACCTTTTGATACCTCAGAATTAATAAGGCCTGATTGTCCACGTTACTGTGTAACACCTAAACTGCTGACGAAGGACCTTTGGCTTCGCTCAAAACGACGGAATTCTCCTTATTTATATTATTCGCAGTACCTACACTGGCACAGACAGTTCTAGATTTCAGAATACCCGTCCATTTCCGATACTGTTTATTTTTAGACGTCTGCTGTTTGTATAAATTTTATATAAACAAATTTTATTGTAAATATATTGTATTCTAATATCAACTTTGTTCGTAACAAAATGTCAAAAAGGACAGATTTTGGTTGTAGGTTTTTCATAACATATGCATTTTATTCCTATATTAGCGTGCACGAGAGAAAGGCGCGCAACGTACGAGAAATGTTCGCCTGTCGCGCAGGCTAAGTACCCTCTGACTGCATGATCTGAAGTTTGGTCAAGTCATAGTCAAGTAGCATAGTTATGCCTTTGAATATAATACAAACATTGAATATTATCAGCATAACCATTCAAGCTGGATGGTTATGCCATTAAATATTATCTGTCATCCCCACCCCCACCTCACCTAGAATATCTATTACAGCCTACCCATTTACCCATTTAAACGAGTAAATTCAATGCGTTAGATTTTGATGTAATTTTCCCAGGTACGCCATAATTTACAAGAAAGGTTATCAGAAGTTTGACGTGGGTCTCAGTTCAGTCACGACAAAAGTCAAGGGGGTTGTACAAACCAATCTGTCCATAAATTATCCAATCAGAGTCGAGAATAAAACCACTTGGGGGGTTTTTAATCAAGGACCTCGAACCTGGGACTCTGCTGATTACGTCACACCGGCTGAGGTAGGTAGTGAATGGAATAGGGGGGGGGCATGAAGAAGACAAATTACCAAATTACTCGTTCAATAAATAGATTAGAATTTCTTTCGAAAATAAATCAATGGCATTGTACTGACGTCTACAGGGTGTATAAAAAAAACGCAACCCCGGAATTTCCCAAGAAATCGATATTGTTTTAAGGACAAAAGATTTTAGGTGCCTGGGAATTTAAAATAGCACAACTGTCAAAATTACTGCACACGCAAGTGCATAAAGCAAAATTTATGCATTTATTTAATGACACTTAATAAGTTTTAATTTACAAGTACAGTACAACAACAGTTAAATGGACCATTCCCCAATTAACCAAAATTTTGAACTCAACAAGTCTAGACAAAAATTTCATTACAGCTTGAAAGAGCATCACAAAATTAGTAATATTCCGAAGTTTCGTTGCAAAATGTTGTGAAATGCGGATAATATAGCCTTGCGAAGTTTGCAATTTTCAGTCATTTTAGATTACAAACGAGAAACTTCGCAAGGTACCCTGGATTCCAGAGCCTTCGACAGTAAATAATAAATTGAAATGTCGCGAAGGCTCTGGTTCAACGGGGCGATTCTTTGATTAAGCCGCGCCAATCACAAAACAGAATTAGTGGTTTTAGTACAGATTGAAATGTCGCGAAGGCTCTGGTTCAACGGGGCGATTCTTTGATTAAGTCGCGCCAATCACAAAACATAATTAGTGGTTTTAGTACAGATTCTGTACTAAAACCACTAATTCTGTTTTGTGATTGGCGCGGCTTAATCAAAGAATCGCCCCGTTGAACCAGAGCCTTCGCGACATTTCAATTTATTATTTACTGTCGAAGGCTCTGGAATCCAGGGTATTCGCAAGTTGGATTTCTTAGGAAATCCTGCAGAGGTTTCCCGGCACGTAAGTTTGGACAAGGCTGCCCCTGGGCCCTGGTCCTACCGGAATTGGGTGCCCCCAAGGCAGGGGGATCATTTTGAAGTACCATGAAGCTCTGACAATATTTAACATTTTACTAGTCGTTTAGAAGCGAATTTTAATGGTTTCGTAAACTGGAAATGTAAGTATATAGCAAAATACAAAAAACGCATCTATAAATAACACTATGCAGAAATTGTTTTTGACATAAACAGTGAAATGTTTGCCACTGTACTTATACCATAGAAATAATAGACCTATCTATTATTTCTATGACTTATCCACATACAACCTTAGATGAACAAGGGTCCCGGATAACTCAGTTCAGGGTGCCCCCCCTAGAAACCCGATTGCCTGGGTGCCCCCGGCTCTTACCGGGTAGAGTTCATAGGAGTTAGCCACTGGAGGTTGCGTTTTTTTACACACCTTGTGTATTGTATACAGACAGAATTAGCTTCAGAATTAAAATGTTTGAAACGGGCCTCATTTTCTTCAAGAATCGCGTTTATTTCACAATACATTAAATATGAGTTAAATAAATCAAAGCTGGGGTATTTCTCAACATTACTGCAAGAAAATGAGGGAGAGACACCAGAGAAATAAAGCAACTAAGCGCCGAAACGAAGCGTTTCAATGGGAATCGAATTCAATATACATATTTATATTACAATGAATATATATAAACACGTGTTTAAAAAAACAGCAATAACTTAACAAGAACAACTCAAAAACGTTTAAAAAATAGCTAAATTTAATACTGACCTTTCCCTTTGCATGACACACCGATTTTATTTCGAAACGTTTTCATAAAAGCGAAGTTTTCTTGCAATATTAACTCTGTACTCTCTAAATTTCAAAGCCTCGAGCAGAAATATTCAAATTTGCCGGAATGTGTACACCACACCATTGTCTGTTATTGTCAGATTTTTACGTGCTCTGATTGGTTTAGCTTGGAAAAGCTTTGCTATCAGCCATACTGCTGAACGCATGCATTGGTCTGACTCCCTTGGGAGTTGGAATGCTTTTATAATAATTGAATATACAACGGTAATCGGGGAACGGAATGAGGAACGGAACGGGGAACGCGGAAACCTGGAAACTTTTAAAATCCGGAATGAGAAAAGCAGGAATCTGCAAAACCCGGAATGAAAAAAAGTCGGAATCTTTAAAACCCGGAATGCAAAAAGAAAACCAGAATCTTTAAATTCCGGAATGACAATTACCATGTCTCTAAGAAATGGGCCCCATATATGATTTCTAAACTGATTAAAGATGCTCCATTATACATACGCGTAGAGTTTAAGGTTTAGAATTTCAGGTTTGCCAAGGACAACCTTTTTTAAATTAGCTGTACTAAGACGCTCAGAAATGCAAACTAAATTTTTGCATTTTTAGTGAGTGTTCACTTTCAAGGCCCGTTTACACGGGCGATTTTGCTGCGATTTTAGCTGCTATTTTCTCCTTTTGGAGGATGTGAAGGAGTAGATTACTTGATGTGTTGTTATGAGATTTCATAACCTGGAACATTGATAACTTAAAATAAACTGATCTACTTCTTCACATCCTCCAAAAGGAGAAAATCCCAACTAAAATTGAAGTAAAAATCGCCCGTGTAAACGTGCCTTCAACTTCCACGTTTGCCCCTCAATGCTCTTATAATTTACCTGAAAATCATCTCGAGTCACCTCCGAATTTACCCGAGGTTACATCCGTCCCCGGTTGCTAAGTCCCTGAGCTCACTTTAAAATACTCCAGTGAGCCTCAGGTCCAAATGGAAACGACAGTTCACTCGAATCGTGTTTTGATTTGTACAGGAGTACGAAGCTGTATTTGTGATGACAAACATGATACTAACTCCAGAACAAAAGCAAGGAAAATGTCCTGAAGACTATGCCGTTCGTGAAGCGATGTGCACGAATGATTCAGATTGTGTTGCTAGAAAAGTTCCAAAAAACGGCGGCCATGGTAGGATTTAGAATTACAGGAGAGCGAAATGGGGCAATGTAAAGTTGAACCTCTATTAAGCGGAACACCTTCGGGACCTCGCTCAAAAGGGATTAAAAGGGGTTGAAGGAGGTTTCCGCTTAAAAGAGATGTAAGGGGTGAGACCCAACTGATTCTGGAACAGTAGTGCATGATTGATATCAAGCATTTGTTTTGTACTAGTAGCCAATCAAGCTTTTATTTACAAACTTGCTTCCGAATCATATTATGAACCTTTGAATTTTACAGTTGACGGTTTAATACTGTTACTGTATGTAAAAATTGCAATTTGTTCGCGTCGGTTGCAATTTGCTAAAGCAATCAGCCGATCAATATTGCAATACTGCGTGACAATATTGCAATGTTGCCCGCAACGGAACACCGCATTTGACTGTAAGACAAGTGTCCGTTCAGGGTGTTAGCTAGCCCATATACTGTTCGTTTGAAGGACTTTTCCCAATTGAAGTAGCTGAGGGGCTTTCCCAACTGGGCCACTGGAAGATTTTCATTTTTTCTGATGAGAAAGTGCATTGCGTTTGATTTTATATTATTATATCAAAGAACGTTTTATTTACTTTTTCCCATTAACTATTTCCTCAAAATGTATCGCGTTTCATTCATATTGGGTGTGCATTCACTGAAATGAAATGTACAAAACAAAGTGTAATCGGTGTGCATCTGTTTTTCAGTGTTCATTCACCGGAAATGAAATGTACAAAACCAAGCTACCGTTGTTTGCATTTAAAGAGAAACACGTTGGAAAAAAACCAGTATTTATTCCTACACAAGGACTTCGATCGGTCAAAAAACTTTCCCAATTTACGTTTAACGGACAAAACATTTTTCTGGCTAACACCCTGCCGTTAATAGGGGTTCGAATGTGAAAAGAAACCCAACCCTAATCCCTAACATTAACTCTAACACTGGCCCCGAAATTAAGGTGGCTCCCTACAGTTGTTTAAGCAAGGGACTGTTAGCGAAGTATAGAGATTATTCACAAGCGTTTCTACCAAAAAATCCCCGTTTCACATAAATAGCAAATATTTTGCGTCATTGCGAAGAGCTTATTTTTCGCTGATGTTTCTTTCTCTGGGGATCCATCTTAATACGTTCTCATATCAGGAGATGCGGTGTTTGAGCATTTTGAGGTTTCCCAGCGGGCTAAATGACGTCTATTCAACGTTGAATCAACGTTGGAAATGATCACCCAGACGTTGGATAGACGTTGAAAAAGGATTGAAAATGCAAATTGGATTGACGTTACTCTTTTGACGTTGAAACAACGTTGAGACTTGAGATTAGGTTTCTAATTTCGTTAAGCATAATTCAACGTTGAATATACAATTACTTTATGGTTTCCGTGTTTGGATGGCCTGATCCAAACACGCAGGAATGTTGCGAGAGTTAAGAAAGCGCGCGAAACACGAGCCGAAGGCGAGTGATATTGTGCGCTTTTCTTAACTCGAGCAACATTCCCAACTACTTGGATCTGGCCATCCTAACAGGGAAACCATAAAGTAATTGTTTTGTAAAATAACAACAACACGATAGTCTTCCGTGTTTGGATGGCCTGATCCAAACACGGGTTTCGACCAATCAGAGCACGCGTATAATACATGTTATTTTATAATCCACGTTGAAACAACGTTGAGAATACTTCACAAGTTGACGTCTTATAAACAACCAGGAACGAACGTTGATTCGACGTCTGTTTGCTGCTGCTGAACCAACGTTCGTAAAACAACGTCAGACCAACGTTGATATGCTTGTCGACGTCGCGACCTTTTTTCAACCAAATTTAAACGTTGAAACAACGTCGTGTCCCCGGTGGGTTAACGGACAACTTATATCTTTTGTAGGCATCATGACAGGAAAATGCATTGAGTCAGACCGACCGCATGCTGTTTCCAAAATGTGTGAAATCGAGACTTGGTGTCCAGTGGAAAATAATAAGCTGCCCATGCAAGGAACAAACTTTGGTAAACCTCTGTCAAAGTAAGACACTTTTGACCCTTATTGAGGTTTGAGTCAATACATGCACACACACATACATTCAGCTGTGACCACTTTACATCAAGTATTATCCTTATTTATATTACCCATACCTAGTCCCCTGACTATTATATCGTTACAACAATTGTGATATTACTTTCCTAACTATGTTTATCCTAACCCACCCTGTCAATTTTCCCTGTGTGGGGGGGGGGGGGCGGAGCGCCCGAAGAAAACCCACGACGTTCGGCAGAGCGTTCACTGACTCTTTTCACACGAGTCCGTAGCGAGCCAACAAGTAAATGAAAATTTAAAATACTTATTTTGAGGTCTACAGATAAGAAACTACTTTTTTATTTTTGCAGCAAGACCTGCCTGTTTGAAGAGGCTATAAACTTTACTATTTCTCTGAAGAATACAGTGCGCTTTCCAGAATTCGGCGTTACAGTGTAAGTTTCGTCGCAACGTTAACTGTATTATTATCGGCGTTACAGTGTAAGTTTCGTCGCAACTGTATTATTATTATTATTATTATTATTATTATTATTATTGTTATTGTTATTGTTATTGTTATTGTTATTGTTATTGTTATTGTTATTGTTATTGTTGTTATTGTTATTGTTATTGTTATTGTTGTTATTATTATTATTACTATTATTATTATTATTATTATTTGCCCGACTTTTTCGGATTGTGCCCGCGTTGTCAAAAAAAATTTCCGGAAAAACTTTCCAAAATTGTTGTCAACGAGGGTGGGAGGAAGAACCAATACGAAACATTTCTATTAGATAGCATATTTCCCACAAAATTGACAGAATTTGTCCCATTTATTTTTACAATAAGTCAATATTGCCCGACTGTGAAGCTAACGTTGCCCGACTGGCTTTGTTTCCCCAACAAACTGGGGGGGGGCTGCCGCCCCCTCCCCCCCCGGTACGCCCATGCCCGCAGCTTTTTTGCAACTCTGATTTACATGCAGTGACCTCTATATGTAAACTGGAACGATAACTCCTATGATAAACCCTATGATTCGCTGAAGCCAAAATAATTTTTCCGAGTTTTGAGCTGAAATACTTGATCCCAAACGTTGGGCGCTATATCAAACTGAGGCTATTGAAAATTGCTATTCGTTGTGGAAATTTCAAGACTTCAGCGAAAATAAAAATATTTTAATAATACAAAAACAACTGCCATTCGGTCAAAAAAGGGCAAAATATTGGCAATTATTTTTGAATTTTTTAAATATTTTCCCCTTGTAGTTAAAGTCTTGAAATTTCTACATCAAATAGCGTTTTTTAATAGCTTCAGTTTCATATACGTTCACTGTTAAGTATTTCTGCTCAAAACTCAGAATAACTGAAATGCACTGGCTTCAATCCCCCCCCCCCGAGTTATCGTTCCAGTTTACATAGAGTTCAGTGTTTATATGACGCTCAATCCTTTTTTACACAGGCGAAATATTCATGACGACCATAACGATCCAGATTACTTAAAAAAATGCAGATACAATCATGAAGACCAGCGGTTGTGTCCAATAATTAGCCTCAAAACAATTTTCGATGAAATCTCTGGAACAGCTTTTGACGACACGGCGATCAGGGGTGGTGTGGTGGGCATAAAGATTACATGGGATTGTAACTTGGATTACGACATCAGTGAATGCCTCCCACGCTATTCATTTTTCAGGTAGGAATAGTTTTAAACAATTTTGTAACAGCAAGACAATTAGTAGACCCTTAGAAGGCCAAAAAATGTTCGGGTTTAAAAAAAAAATATTCAATTATAATACCAAGATGGCGGAAGTTGTAAAGGTCTTCATATCATACCATGGTCGGATTTTGAGGTGCGCATCTCCCCTGAGATCGTTTTGCACCTCCCCTGAGAATTTTTGTACCTCCCCTGAAAAGTCATGCACGTTCCCTTGGGAAAGTTTTAATGATAGATTAAAGTGCCAGCAAAAAAGATTGCACGGTATTTATAGCGTTGTCTTTTGTTTTTACAGGTTAGATAATCCGCAAGCAAAGGTTGCACCGGGATATAATATAAGGTAGGCACAAGAACAGGCTGTGATACTGTAATTAGAAATAGCCTGAGAACAGGCGTAATAATACTAAGCCCACCTGAATAAACGCCTGTTCGCAGGCTATGTACCATATGACCAGCAAACTAGCTAAGGTCCCAGTTACACGATACCGGATTTGCATCGGAGCTATAGGAGTATCAGACCCTATTTTACATATAATAACCTGAAACCAATCTTAATCCGATCGTTTTCCACCCACAGCAAAGTTTTAGCATTCAAAAATCCAAATACCCTGGACGTTAGACGGTCTTTAATACCCTAGATTATAAACTTTCTTTGTGATCGAAGACAACGAGTTAAAATTGGAGAATCTTTTTCAAGCTGGCTTCCAGTGACAGCTGGGCTGCTGGGGGTCCCCCAAGGCACTAAACTTGGTCCAATATTGTTCCTCATTATGATTAATGATTTGAGAGTAAACTCCCCAGACACGAAAATGTGGAAATTTGTAGACGATGCCTCATCTTCTGAAAATCTTACCTCGAACAGTTTCTCTGCCAAAGTAACAATTGTATGAAATTGAACGCCAAACAGTGCAAAAAGCTCCGGGTTTCCTTTCTTAAAAAACCCCCCGCAGCTATTACCGTTGACAATGGACCATTCCCCAATTAACCAAAATTTTGACCTTAACAAGTCTAGACAAAATTCCATTATAGCATGAAAGAGCATCACAAAATTAGTAATATTCCAAAGTTTCGTTGCGAAATGTTGTAAAATGCGGATAATATAGCCATGAAAAATTTGCAATTTTCAGTCATTTTAGATTACAAACGGGAAATGGTTACCACTTTTCCAAAATTTTGATCTTAACTAGCCTAAACAACAATTTCATCACAGCATGAAAGAACATCACAAAATTAGCAATATTCCAAAGTTTTGTGCCAAAATGTTGTTAATTAACAATTATTCGCCGAAGGCGAGGTGATTATCGGTGAATAAAAACCGAGACGAAGTCGAGGTTTTTATTCACGATAATCACCGAGCCTGAGGTGAATAATTGTTTTAGTATAATTTCACAGGTGATTATTTGGAAAAAATTAAAAAATACACATTTCTTCGTCATTTAATTGACAAAACGGCTTCGGCCGCCATTTTGAAAATCGCTTAGGTGATTATCGCGTAATAATCACCTAAACGGCAACCAATCATCGCGGAGAATTTTCAATAATCACCTATGTGATTATTATTATGTAATTATACTAAATGCGGATAATATAGCCTTGCGAAGTTTGTGATTATCCGTCATTTTAGGTTACGCACAGAAGTGGTAACCATATAGATATCATATAAGATATCTATGGTGGTAACCGTTTCCCGTTTGTAATCTAAAATGACTGAAAATTGCAAACTTCCCAAGGCTATACTATCCGCATTTTACAACATTTTGAAACGAAACTTTGGAATATTACTAATTTTGTGATCCTCTTTCAAGCTGTGACGAAATTTTTGTCTAGACTTGAGTTCAAAATTTTGGTTAATTGGGGAATGGTCCATTGATGGTCACGTGCTAGAAACGGTACAATCGCACAAAGTGTTGGGTTTAATTATTCAAAACAATCTAAAATGGGACGAGCAAATTCGATCAACCGTCACCAAGGCCCCAAACGGTTATACGGCCTTCGGGTATTATGCCGCGGTGGTGTCCCTCCTGCTGGTCGCACCAACATATACTTCGCGCTTATTCGTTCTATTCTGGAATACTGTTGTGAGGTGTGGAATTACGCGATACCCGGTCCCCGCTATCTGTCTGACAAACTGGAAAGATTGCCAAAGCGTGCCGTGCGCATTATCTTTCCCGGCCACTCATACGAAGTTAAGCCGGTGATTTCTCGGGTGGAACTAATTAGAAAAGACAAAGAAACATTCCGCTCCGCGCGCAAAATTCCGCCTAGCTAGTGGAAAACCGGCTTTATTCCACTCACTCTTCTAAGACAAGCCTCCTCTAAGACAAGCGCGTTAAGACAAGCGTCCTCTAAAGGCCTAATTCCACGACGAGAGAAATGCGAAAAATTTCGCGCGCAAAGGTTGAACGCATGCGCAACATTATTTTGGAGTGTTTCTCTGCGAAATATTTCTCTGCGCCGGGTGGTTGAATTCGTTTCTACTCCGTTGCGAAATGGAAATAGCGAAACCAATCAAATGCTTGTGTTTTGGACGACAAAATAGTGAAACCAATCCAATGCTTGTGTTTTGGCGAATTTTTTCTCTACTGTGGAAATCACTACGAGAGAAAATTTTCGCCCAAGTTTGTTTTCGCGCGAAATTTTCCTAATTTGCTTGTACGTCGTGGAATTAGGCCTTAAGACAAGCGTTAAGTCGTCACGAAAATATTTCGTGCACTTAAATTGGATAAGACTCGCTACCAATACGGCTGTTGACTCGATAGCTCAATAGGTAGAGCGGCGGTCTAGATACCCGAAGATGCGAGTTCAAATCCCGCTCGAGCCAACAAATTTTTCGTGCCTTTCGTTGCTCGATTGCAGTGTCAAATTAATATGAAACTAGTTTTTCATATTCGTCTAGAGTTCGCAGAATAACTGTTAAATATTATCATAATTTTAAGTGCTAAATTAATTTAATTTATTAACTTTGCCAGAAGTCTTAACAGCTATTACAAAGTAATAATTTAACGAATTAACTAAATAGACTATATGGCAAGGTATTCGCAACAGCGATTAGCCAATTACTGCGAACCCAAGGACAATACGTTAACATCAAACAGCAAAAAAACTAACAACTAACTTCATGCATATATTCCCAGGAAAAGTCCCTTTTCCCTAAAATTATACAAACAAACCAGCGAAGATTAACAAATACATAAACGGAAAGTAAGTTTTAGGCTTTATCCTTTGTCCTTGTTTAACAAAATCGATTTAAATTGTTACGTTTTTCTACCAATAAGTATTGACAAATTATTGTTAATAATTTGTTTATTTTTTGGATGCTCAGAATGCAGGAAATAGCATTTCCGGGTTTCAAATTTCAAAAATTTTCTGGGGATTATCCCTCTAATAAGTAATGAGAAATTACAGTTAATATTCTTTTTTTCCTTTTGTGCATTTTTTCCATCTTTTATTTCGAATACAAGTATAGTTAGCATAAATTTTAGAGCAATTTGAATGCTCAGAATGCAGGAAATGGCATTTCCGTGCTTCAAATTTCAAAACTTTTCTGGGGGAGTACACCCTCACACACCTGACCATTGCTATCCTCCTCTAATAAGTAATGATAAATGACGGTTATTTTTTACTTTTTGTGCGTTTTTTCCATTATTTATTTAAAATACAAGTATAGTTAACATAAATTTTGGAGGAAATTTGGATGCTCAGAATGCAGGAAATGACATTTCCATTGCTATCCCCCTCTAATATATTATCTCACAAAAAGGTCCCTTTGCAAAAAATGCCCCCCCCCCCGGGAAAATCCTTAAAAAAGGCCCCGCGTAATAGGACACTATTTACTTCACTTCCAGAATTGCCCAATATGATATGACGGACACAAGGTTTGCACGCAGAACATTAATTAAAGCTTATGGAATACGGTTTGTTGTCATGGTCGATGCCAAGGTAAAGTGAATGTTATTCGAAAGGAAAGTGTATAGGACGGGGGGGGGGAAGATTCCGTCTAGCTTGTTTACCAATTTCTTCATTTCATGTAGGCTGGCAAATTCGACATCGTGCCTCTGCTACGAAACTTTGGTGCTGGCTTAGGACTCCTGGGATTGGTAATGCCCTGTTTAAACGGATCCAACATTGTTGGGCCAACATCGTCCAACATTGTTGAAATAATGGCCCAAACGGCTTCTTTTTCAAATATTTTTGTCAAGACTAGGTTTAGAGTTTGAGTAAAGCTTATCTAAGCAAAAAGATTTGAAACAGAATCAGTCATATCTATTATAGTAACATTGTTGGATGATGTTGGTCCAACAATGTTGGATACGTTTAAACGGGCCTTAAGATTATGATCGAATAATTTTTTGCAGCCGAACCTCCGTTTAAGCCTGGTTTCCATATGGTCGTAAAGATTGAGTCACGATCTTTCTCATCAGCCGAAATACAACATTTTGGAACTGAAAATACGTGGAGTGATTATAACTAGAGAATACTTATAATTTATATGTGGTTTACACGTATAAAATATTGTAAACTGGCCGTTGAGAAAGACCGTGTATTTTTACGAACATTACAACCATATTGAAACCAGGATTTGGCGGAACACCTTCGGAATTACCTCACCAATGTGTCCGCTTAAAAGGGGTTTGCACTATACGGCAGGAGGTAACACCCCAATTAAATTAGGAACAAATTCAAGAAAGAAAAGTTAGTTTTAGGATATTAAGAAGCGATTAGATATATAGAACTACTGTAATGATAATGTCTGGTGAATTTTCCTCAAATTGATTTTTACCATTGATTGTTTTGAAAATATTTATATTCATCAGTTACGTTTGTTTGCTTAAAGAGAGGTTATTCGGCTCATTGGATTATAGTCGTAAAAATAGAATCATGATCTTTCTCAACGGCCAGATTATGATAGTTTATACGTGTAAAGCAAATATAAATCACAATTAGTTATTTCGTTATAATCACTCCGCGTATTTTCAGTTCTGAAATGTTGTATTTCGGCTGATGAGAAAGATCGTGACTCAATCTTTACGACCGTTACCGACCATATGAAAACCAGGCTTATCTGTTAATAGTAATGCATGTACTATTTACAGCACGACAAAACTGTACAAGCGTTTTGAGTAAGAGTGTTTTGAATGACTTCAAACGCAAGTACAATATATTGATCTTAACAATAACGGCATTGACATTGTTTTCAATTGTTCCAAAACATGGTCGACTAAACTTACCCCAACGGTAGTCATTAACTTAAGTATGTCATTAACTTCTAAGTACTTTTTCGCAGGCAACCGTATTGTGCGATATATGTATACTGTACTGTCTTAAGAAGAAGTCTTACTACCGCAGTCAGAAGTATCTTTATGCCGACCCAGAGCAAGGAGAAGACCAGGTAAGTGCATGGAAATTTAAAAGCATTATTTAAACACCCAAGATGAGCTTGCTCATCGTGACTGTATTAACAAGGCGATCTGCAGTTCCATTGAATTGTTTTGCCGTAGTCGGCAAAATTGTTTATTCATTGGTAGAATTTTGGGGCTACGAACAGGCTAAAGGCCCAGAAACTAAATCACGTGACTCAAACATGATTAAAAACACTATAAACTTAAACTTTATTTTGTTATAAAAAATAAGTCAAAGTAAAGCAAAAAAGCGCGCGAAAATATTTGAATGAGCCCACGATGCCACGCAATGAGTGCTCATTGGGCGTTTTTAAGCGTTTTTTAACTTACTTGACTACATTAACTTACTAGGAAAGTCTGGTCTGGTAGAGTGTTACTACAGGAGGGAATCGGAACTAAACTGACTTTATTTATGAAATACTTCCACAGGGAACAGCATGTATTATGAAAAACAAATTCAGGTCCACAGCTGGCCTGAACACAACTTAAAGTTTAGTAATACATACATAAATGTTCATAGATTATTTAAAATTGCAACCCGATTAATTTCAGCCAATGGAAGAACCAGTAGCGAATACAACTTATGTTATGTTTGAAAACTAATGTGAAGGGATTTATGAAGAAATACTGGGAAAGTCGATACCAGCGAGCAAGTATAAACATACCCAAGACATCTAGTTTTCAGAGACGATTTTCAGAAACACTATCACGTTCTGATCTCATTCATTTATAAATTAAATGGATTGATTTATAATTATACGTTTCACACAAGTTTACTGACTAAATTAATAATTGTTTATGAATTAAAAATTAGTTGTTTGTTTTTAATATTATTATTGTATCGTGCATGTACTGTATGTTTGCATATTATTGTACGGTTTAAATATTGACAATTGAGAAACATAAAATAATAGTACAAAATAACGTGAGCAAAAGTGACGCCATACAGTATTTACAGTAATACCGAACTTCAGACATCATTTTCTCTTTGGCATACCATCTAAAATCTCTTCATTTTAGAGCATTATTTTACAGATAAAGCACTAAACATGCTTTTAACTTTTTTTGCCGATTGAGAAACGTTAACGAAAAATAAAAATTTTGAATATAATCATAACCGCAGATGGTATATTATTTTTATGAGCGCGTATTACGTAACATACAAGAAATTCCCTCTAAAGTCTAAACCAAGTGCTTTTGGAATGAAGGAAATGCTCACACGCCTATAACGGGCCCAATGTTTGCACTTCATTGCTCCTCTACCCTTCCCTACCCGGAATGGCCTGATTTTCATTGGATAACAGCCATAAGCACGTTGTCATCGGCAAGAATTTTTAAACTACTTACTGGACACGTGTTCGTCATTTTGAATCTTTCCTCATTCCTTTCTTTGTGTGGTAGAAATGAAAGAAGTTCAACATCTTCAATCGTTCAATTTCCAAACCGGCTGACAATATCCTATCGACCAAATCCCAATCCTCACCTCCCCAGCCGGGTATGTCTGAATCTCTCCACTTTCATATCTCCAAACCTACGGAAATATTTTCAATAATGATTTAATACAATTGCCATAAAATTGATGAAATTTGTTTATGAATTTTGGCAATATATTATCCTGGATTCCAGAGCCTTCAGTAAATAATAAATTGAAACGTCGTGAAGGCTCTGGTTCAACGGGAGGATTCTTTGATTAATCCGCACCAATCACAAAACAGAATTAGCGGTTTTAGTACAGATTCTGGCGCGGATTAATCAAAGAATCCTCCCGTTGAACCAGAGCCTTCACGACGTTTTAATTTATTATTTACTGAAGGCTCTGGAATCCAGGGTAGCAATATACATGTGTTGTGATATAAACACCGCACAAAGAGAAAGTTCCCCCTAAATATATCATCATAAGTTCTAAATTAATGATTACATGATAATCACACCTCATCACTAATTAGACCTATGGTAGGTTGCTTAATGCTGTTTGAAGAATGGTGTCATTCGTGCTTTAATTTAAAGAACGACTTAGAATGACTCCATTGAATACAAAAATACCCAATTTCAAATATAATGAAACAAGAATGACTTTATTTAAATTTCACAACGTTGTACAACAGTAAATTGGCACCACACTTCAAAGCATCACCTCCTCAGAAAGAGAATGATGTGGCCTGAGAACTCGCCAGATCTCAACCCACTACGAGTACGAGTACGAGATTTGCTCGCGTGCGAGGAAATCACCGTAGTCGTTCTCGTTTCCGTTTAAATGTTGCTTTTATAATAGTAGACAAACAACGAAAGAAACAGTTCATATAAACTAAATCTCCTGCAGGCCAAAATCCCCTACAAAATGTGCAAATAAGTCATAACATTAAAAACAAGCCAAATACTTAATACTAATAGATTATTTGCGCCGGATAAACGCTACAAATTATTTTTGAAAAACAAAAAAGCCAGCTTTCTTTGTTTTTTTTTTTGAAAAGTCGTAGTCAGGACTACGAGATTTCTCCACAATTTCGTACACAGATGGGCGACGGCTACGACTTCTTCGCGTCAGTACGGGATGGCGTAAGCATACAGCATGCGTTTCGCTTGACAAATCTCGTACTCGTACTTGTAGTCGCCACAGAGTAGAGACATACAGAGACGTAACTAGTGTACCCACTTTCTTGTGCGCATGCTCGGCAAGTTACTAGATGCATGCATCTGATTTGATGACGACCTGATGACGACTCACTTTAAACTTGTTGAGCACGCGCAGTTGATCATTTTTCGCCCGGTCGCCTGAAAAAAAGTGGGTACATGATAACGTAATCTTCCGCAGTGTTTACAACGGTCAGTTACGTCTCTGTATGTCTTATCTACTCTGTGTAGTCGCTGCTAAAACTCCTTAATATCTCAACGGCGGGTGAGCAGAAAATGCCTGAAGGACTGGAGGTAATTGAGAAGCATGGTGGTTACACCCATTATTACATACATGACAAAATTACTGCAATCTGATTGGTTAAGAATGGTTTTGACATTGAGTTATATGAACACGTACGGCTCTTAGCCAATCAACGTTCGGAATTTACAAATCCTATATTATAATATTTATTATATTATATTTTGTAAGTTCTTCATATAATCTCTATATATAAAAACAAATTTGTAACTAGTTAGTATTCAGGGCTGACATTGATACCAGTTCTTCTGAACTGATGAAATAAAGTTGATTTGATTTGATTTGACTGGATAAAGTTTTGATCACATCCTTGGAATGATTGATGTGTGATCAAGTTCTAAGGCTGTATGAAATTGGATCAAGTCCTAGGACTGGATGAAGTTTGATCAAGTTCTAAGACTGTATGAAATTTGATCAAGTCCTAGGACTGGATGAAGTTTTGATCAAGTTCTAAGACTGGATGAAATTTGATCAAGTCCTAGGACTGGATGAAGTTTTGATCAAGTTGTAGGACTAGATGAAGTTTTGATCAAGTCCTAGCACTGGATAAAGTTTTGATCAAGTCCTAGGACTAGATAAATGCCTGTGATGAAAAGCTCACTCACACTCATCTGAGCTTTCCTTGAGTGTCAGTGCTGTTTTTGAATAGCTGGAGGGTTAGTCTCGTACCTTACTATGTGACTACTCACCCTCCAGCTATTCAAAAACAGCATTGACACTCAAGAGAAGCTCACATTGAACCTCCACTCATCGAGTGTGAGTGAGCTTTTAGAATACGGGCGTCAATCTGAGCTTCCCTTGAGTGTCAATGCTGTTTTTGAATAGCTAGATGGTTAGTCTCGTACCTTACTATGTAACTACTCGCCCTCCAGCAAAAACAGCATTGACACTCAAAGGAAGCTAAGATTGAACCTCCACTCATTGAACCTCCACTCATTGAGTGTGATTGAGCTTGCTTAGCTTCAAGCGGAAGGTTATTCCAAAGATAAGCACCGCTATATTTAAAGCTTCTTTTAAGAAATTCTCTGTTTGGCTTTGGAAGGGTCAGATCAGTCTGAGAATTTCTAAGATTATAATTGTTTAGTAAAATATTTCTACTTATGAATGAGTCTTTCAGAGTTGGTGCAGCACTATTACTCAAGACTTTATATAAAAATTTCGCCTTGGTTAAGTACCATCTTGTTTCCAAATTTTCCCAGTCAACAGTTCGAAGAACGTCAGCAGATCTGATCTCATAACTGGCGCCAGCTATTATTCTGGCAGCTCGATTTTGGAACTTTTGTAAATTATCTCTTAGTGTTTTGTTACAACCCCCCCAAAGGGGAGAGCAGTAATCGAAATAAGGCTGTATCAGAGCATAAATAGATATCAATGTGTTTGCAGGAACATAGGGCTTGATACGCTTTAAAATTCCTATGCCTGTTCCGACTTTTTTGCAAACCATTTCAATATGTTCGTCCCAATTCAATGTTTCATCAAATTTAACTCCCAAACACGAGATTGAGTGCACTCTGGGAATCAGTTGATCATTAATCATTACGGGAAACTCATTGTCAATTTTAGCAAGATAATGATTTGATCCGACATACATTAATTTGGTTTTTGTTGAATGATGCTGCAGTTTGTTTTTAACCCGCCATTGACTAACATTGTTTGAATCATGATTTAAATTAGCATTAAGTTCTACACAGTCTTTCGCAGATGAAAATATCTGTGAATCATCAGCATATAAGCATGGGGTTGACTTCTCAAGACAATCAGGTAAATCATTAATATGCAATAAGAACAATAAGGGACCCAATATAGATCCTTGAGGGACTCCACAAACAATCCTTTTTGGTGCTGACATTGTGCCATTTGTTAATGGCACAATGAAAAATACATTCCGCGTTTCATCCTCATTTACGGAATCCGCTTCCAGAATCCGCGTTTTATCCTCATTTGCGGAATCCGCGTTTTATCCTCAAATGCGGAATCCGCTTCCGGAATCCGCATTCCGGTTCCGCGTTTTATCCCAACCCTTCTTTAACTGTGTTTATCTTAACCCACCCTGTCAACTTTCCCTGTGGGAGGCCCAGGAGGGAACAGAAGCATCCGGAGAAAACCCTCTGGAGAAAACCGATGACTTTCGGCAAATCGTTGACTGACTCTTCACATAAGTGGGCACAGCTTGCTGTGACATTTTACTTGAGACTGACAATTTGAGACTTCCGAGACCTTATATTACCATAGCAACTTTGCAAATTTGCAAATCTTGATATTAGACATGTAAAGAAGTGTACAATGTGTCATATATTTTAGCACGTATTCCTTCATCTGATATCCTATACAACAGTAGCATTTCTACGCTGACCAACACGAATTGCGAGTCATCATGGTGAACTTTTATCAAATAGGTAACTCAGTCGCTTCGGCACTTTTTGAATACAACACAAGCAAAATTGTTCACATCAGAAATAAGAGAGTTGGCATCGTCAATCGATTGATACAACTGCTGATTATAGGTTATGTTATCGGGTACGTCTTAGGTAGTCAATATTTATAGTCTAACTAAAAATGATTTTGAATAGGAATTATTTAGTCGAATATCGTTGCTCTACATAGCTGCAGGAGGGGGATATATAACATGTGCGGGATAGCTCATACTCTCGCAACCTTTTGACACCTCAGAATTAATAAAGACGTTACCGAGTAACTCCAGGCCTTCGCTCGAAACGTAGGAATTCTCCTTATATTTTTCAGGTAGTTGCATATCCCTACCAACGGAAGCTTGTTTATATTATTTGCACTACTTACACTGAGACAGTTATAGGTTTTAGAATACCCGTCCATTTCCGATACTAACGAACTTAAAGCAAAGCTTAATCTAGTACGGGGACGTTGTCAAGAAGCCGCCTTAAATTTTACACTTTTATAATTATAAAGAACCACCGTTATTAAGAACTTCAACAAAGCAGAACGCAAGCGCAACGAGAACGGCCAGCAACATCATATTAATGCAAGAAAACGAGCGGAAATTAATAATTGAAATTTCACGGACGTTTTAGGACGTCGCCGTAGCTCTGTTTTACAACGGCAAAATACAGAATATCACGTCTTGTATGCAACGCTAATAGGGAGCTTAAGCATGTAGGACGGCAACACGACGACGACGGCAACCAATACAATGAGTCAATGAAAAGTGAATAAATAATTAAAGTCCCAGGAGAGTTTCAGACGTGGTCGTCGCTCTGTTTACAACGGCAAATCACAGATTTTCACGTCTTTTATACAACGCATGCATTTCAAGCCGTAACAAGTGCAACTTAAAATTCGGTCAGTAGAACTCTTCCCAAACATAAAGCCAATGTTTTCAACTTCTTATACTGTATTAAATTCATACGAATTATAATATACGACAAGTTTTCTTTACTATCATTTATTTGAAGGAATTTGTTTTGGCTGTCGTCATCGTGTTGCCGTCCTACATGCTTAAGCTCCCTAATATTTCAAGCTGGGACAACTGCTATTTTAAATTGGGTCCTGAACTTTTCTCAATCATAAACCCTGTGTTAATTTTTATCGTTAAACTGTATTATTTTCATACGATGGATAATAGACGACAAACATTCTTCCGCAATCATTTGTTTCAGCGAGTTTGTTTGCCGTTCCCGTCCTACATGCTTAAGGTCGCTACTGTTTATTTTAGACGTCCGCTGTTTGTAGAAGTTTTATGTACTATTTAAAAAACGAGCAGGAGCGTTTTATTAGGTTTAAAGCCACGAGCGCGCAGCGCGAGTGGCTTTAGACCTAATAAAACACGACCTGCGAGTTTTTTAAATGGCTTCAAAAACGTTTGCATAATAAGTCAAATCTTTATATAAAAATCTTTATATAAAAATCTTTATATAGTTTGCATACGACGAAAATACATAAATGACTGTTACGTGCACATATAGGCGTACCGTGCGGGGGGGGGGGGGGGGGACCCCCCAGTTTTTTAGGCAGTCGGGCAATATTCGATTAACAGTCGGGCAATTTTGGTTTGTTATAAAAATAAATGGGAGAAATTATGTCAAATTTTTCGAAAATTCAGTCAATTTTGTGGGCAATGTAGTGTTTTTTGGAAAATTTGTGTGATGTTCCGAAAAATTTTGGTATGTCCGGAAAATTTTTTTGACCCCTAAAATGATACACTGACCGAAATTTTTTGGTACTAGTTGGGAACAATCCCGAAAAGTCGGGCAATTTTCTTTCCACCCCCCTAATTTTTTCCTTCCGGTACGCCCATGTACGTGCATTTTTCATATAAACATAAACAGATCTAAGTCATGAAGTTACAAAGTATTTAGTTTAATTAATGTGTCAAAAATAATTTACACACACTGAACTGTACAAGGTCTTCTTATATTAAATCACATCCTAATATGCGAAACTTTTTCAACGTCATATTTTTTCACTGCGTACCACCGTATCATTGAGAAATAATACTCTTATTTAAAATATTGAAACTCGAATGATTGCGTCATTTTTATATGCTAATAAAGCAATTATATACTAATCAGCATACCCGTTCAACTTGGATGGTTATGCCTTTGAATATTATCAACATAACCACCTTACATTCAACTTGGACAGTTATACCTTTGAATATTATCGGCATAACCATTCAAGTTGGATGGGAAAACCTTTGAGTATTATCAGTATAACCATTCAACTTGGATGGTTATGCCTTTGAATATTATCAGCATAACTATTCAACACAGATGGTTATGCCTTTGAATATTATCAGCATAACCATTCAAGGTGGATGGCCATGGTTATGCCATTGAATATTATCCGTATAACCATTCGCATAACCATTCAAGTCGGATGGTTATGCTTTTGAATATTATCACCATAACCATTCAACTTGGATGGGAAAACCTTTGAATATTATCAGCATAACCATTGAACTTGGATGGTTATGCCTCTGAATATTATCAGTATAACCATTCGCATAACCATTCAAGTCGGATGGTTATGCCTATGAATATTATCACCATAACCATCCAACTTGGATGGTTATGCCTTTGAATATTATCTGTTATCCCCATCCCACCCCTCCCAGAATATCTATTACAGTCTACCCATTAAAACGAGTACATTCAATGCGTTAGATTTTGATGTAATTTTCCAAGGTACGCCATAATTTACAAGAAAGGTTATCAAAAGTCTGACGTGGGTCTCAGTTCAGTCACGACAAAAGTCAAGGGGGTTGTACAAACCAATCTGTCCATAAATTATCCAATCAGAGTCGAGAATAAAACCACTTGGGGGGTTTTTAATCAAGGACCTCGAACCTGGGACTCTGCTGATTACGTCACACCGGCTGAGGTAGGTAGTGAATGGAGTGTGTGTGTAGAGGACATATTACCAAATTACTCGTTCAATAAATAGAAAAATTTCTTTCGAAAATAAATCAATGGCATTGTACTGACGTCTACAGGGTGTATGAAAAACAGCAACCTCGGAATTTCCCAAGAAATCGACATCGTTTTAAGGACAAAAGATTTTAGGTGCCTAGGAATTTAAAATAGCACAACTGTCAAAATTACTGCACACGGGAGTGCATAAAGCAAAATTTATGCATTTATTTAATGACACTTAATAAGTTTTTATTTTGCAAGTACAGTAAAACAACAGTTAAATTATCAAGGGCAATTCGATTTCAATTCCTAGGGGCCTAGAATCTTTTATGCTTAAGAATTGCAAAGTGGATTTCTCAGGAAATTTCGAGGTTGCGATTTTTTATACACACTGTGTATTGTACAGACAGAATTAGCTTCAGGATTAAGATGTTTGAAACGGGCCTCATTTTCTTCAAGAATTGTGTTTATTTCACAATACATTAAATATGAGTTAAATAAATCAAAGCTGGGGTATTTCCGATAACATTACTGCAAGAAAATGAGGGCGAAACACCATGGAAATAAAATGACTAAGCGCCGAAACGAAGCGCTTGAATGGGAATCGAATTCAATACATATTATGGAAATTTTACACTTTACCGTACCGGAGTAATCACTGAATACCCATCTATGCTGAATACCCATCTATGCTGAATACAAACGACATCAAAACACTCCAATAAAAGAACGGAAAAACCGTCAGAACACACGCTACCAAACACTTGTGCTACGGTAAAGTACCCCATATTATTACAATGAATATATATAAACACGTGTTTAAAGAAACAGCAATAACTTAACAAGAACAACTCAAAAACGTTTAAAAAATAGCTAAATTTAATACTGACCTTTCCCTTTGCATGACACACCGATTTTATTTGGAAAAGTTTTCATAAAAGCGAAGTTTTCTTGCAGTATTAACTCTGTACTCTCTAAATTTCAAAGCCTCGAGCAGAAATATTCAAATTTGCCACGAATGCGTAACCACGCCATTGTTTGCTATTGTCAGATTTTTACGAGCTCTGATTGGTTTAGCTTGCAAAAGCTTTGCTATCATTGGCTACTGCTAAACGCATGCATTGGTCTGAACTCCCTTGGGACTTGGAATGCTTTTATAATAATTGAATATATACACGGTAATCGGGGAACGGAATGAGGAACGGAACGGGGAATGCGGAAACCTGGAAAAACTTTTAAAATCCGGAATGTACAGTACATTAGACTAGTGGTTATTATATGCTATCGGCGCATATACGTATACGCCCAGCGTAACTATTTTTTAAATTACGTTTTAAGTTACTTGAAAGCAGTGTTTGAAATTCTGTGAGTTTTTTTCTTGAGTGCATTAAAGTCAGTGGCGAGGATGAGAAAATTTGAGCATATTCGTGGTCAAAAACCAGCATATTCTAAGGGAGTTTTGCCTACTTTGAAATACTCCGGTGAGCCTTAGGCCCGAATGGAAACTACAGTTCACTCGAGTCGTGTTTTGATTTGTACAGGAGTACGATGCCGTATTTGTGATGACAAACATGATACTAACTCCACAACAAAAGCAAGGAAAATGTCCTGAATATGACGTTCGTAAAGCAAGGTGCAAGAATGATTCAGATTGTATTGCTGGAAAAGTTCCAAAAAACGGCCATGGTAGGCTTTTTAATAGATTTTTCACTGTAGAATTACAGGAGAGAGAAATGGAGCAATATAAATTCGAACCTCTATTAAGCGGAACACCTTCAGGACCTCGCCAATGTGCCCGCTTAAAAGGGGTGTCGGCTCAACAGAGGGTTTGGAATAGCGGACACAGCAGGGGGTAAGACCCAACTGATTTAGGAACAGCAATGAACAAAGGTACACGTGTCAGCGGAGGGCCCGGCAATGGAGGGGAACTTCCATGCGAGTTCAAGTTTCAAGGAGAAAGTTTCTCTTGCAATTGCCCCAAAGACAAATTAAAGAAAAGTTCGTTTCAGGAGATTAGTTCAAGTTATTAGCGTTTGTACTACATCGAAAAACTACAAAACATTAATGGAAAATATGTGTCCAGTGATTTTTTTTTTAAATTGATTTTTACCATCGATTGTTATGAAATATGAATTTGGCATATTTACACTCATCAGTTGCGTTTGTCCGCCTTAGGAGAGGTTATTCGGCTCATTGGGACCTCAAGTTGATTGTCCGCTTCCGCTTAATAGAGGTGTCAGCTGAATAGGGGTAATGATAATATATTTTATTAAAGAAATCATTGGAACCGGAGGTAGGTGTGCGCTTGACAGGGGCGAAGGTCCACACAGACCGAACGCGATTCGACAACGCGACGAGAATTTTCAGTTTTTAAAAACGGCAAATAAAACCGTCAACGGATAAAAATTTTACACGATATGCAGACCAAATAGCTAAAATTGCTTAAGTGGTTCCGAATATTTGAAAAACATAGAAAAATAGTAAAGTTGAAGTTCATTGAAAATTGAAAATTCGCGTCGCGTTGCCGAATCGCGTCCGGTCTGTATGGGCCTTGACTATTAATAGGGGTTTGACTGTGAGAAGCCAAATCCTATAATCCCTGACATTAACTCTAACACTAACCCCAAAATGAATACGTTCTCACATCAGGAAATACAGTAATTGATAAGGGGTTAAGGACGGGTTGTAACTGCGTGTGTGTGTATGCATAATTAATAAGTAGATTATTCTGTTATATAAACAGACTTGCAAAGTGTGATAAATTTACAGTCTTGCGTAAGAATCTGTAAAGTGAACATTAAGCGTTAGTAAAGAGAACACTAAAAATAATCTAAAGACATCATTATATCTCACGGATACTTCCCATAAAGAGTTTAACAAGGGAAAGACCGTCGAGATACCGTTGAATCGGTTATTGTAAAGTAATAAAATTAAAGAGATTTAATCAGTCTTGTGTGTTAAACTCTTTATGGGAAGTATCCGTGAGATATAATGATGTCTTTAGATTATTTTTAGTGTTCTCTTTACTAACGCTTAATGTTCACTTTACAGATTCTTACGCAAGACTATAAATTTATCACACTTTGCAAGTCTGTTTATATAACAGAATAAATTAAATCTACTTATTAATTATGCATACACACACACGCAGTTACACGGGTCATTATAATTTATGGCAAGGGGTTGGCACCAAAGAGAAATGTTTTCCTTGGTAACATTTTGCTGATCCAACCATAAAAAAGTCAAAAATATTTATCCAACCTCAATTACTGTATCAATTAAAAAATAAATACTCACTCCTGGACAAAAACTTTACAAAAGCCTTTATACCATTCAGTTGTCACATATGTCCATTACAACTTAGTACATCAACTGCTTGTGTATGCCGTTTTCTGCGGTGTAAAGTGCGCGGTTGTTGTCTGCACATGTACCGCTTTCTTTGGAGACACTATTTTCCTCCTGGCAAATCGGAAAATGGTCAAGACAGTGACTCTCATTGATGTACATATTGTATTGACATCTGATTGTTGCATTGCTTTTTAGTTTTCATGATCAATATTTGAGTGAGTCATGCTTTAGAAATGACAATAAACTTTTATTACTCAACCCTTGAATTGTTTTGTTTTTCATTTACCCAACCTTTTACTCATTCACTGAATATTTTTACCCAACCCTTTTCTCTTCGGTGCCCCCATAAATAATGCCATCCCCTCGCGCCATAAATAATGCCCCCCCCCCGCGCCATAAATAATGACCGCTCACTTAATTATATCTCTGCTAGGCATCATGACAGGAAAATGCGTTGAGTCAGACCGACCGCATGCTGTTTCCAAAATGTGTGAAGTCCAGACTTGGTGTCCCGTGGAAAATAGTAAACTGCCCATGAAGGGAACTAACTTTGGTAAACCTCTGTCAAAGTAAGACACTTTTATATAATAATGGCCACACCGCACCCAATCTTAAAGAAGCATTTCATTTTAATAATGAAAGACAATACTTACAATATATCTTAGAAATATGGATACTGATTTAGCACCACCTATGCCGAAAAAAGAATTCGGCAAGAGGTGCTCCAGTTATGATGGTGCCTTGCATTGGAATAATCTTCCCCATGAGGCAAAAATTGCTGAATCCCTAAGCTCTTTCAAGTCGATATTGAAACAAAGAATGAGTTGAAATTTGCTTGTGTGTAATCGTGCAGCTAAAATCACTTGTATTTTTTTTACTTTGTTATATTTTGTATTTCCTGTATATTGTTAACTTCTTGTAAATAGGTAATTTCATGCCCCTCTTGGAAACCAGCCTTCCAACGGCTGTTGAGGCTAGCGTGGTTTAAATAAAGTTTTGTATGTATGTATGTATAAGCACGCAATTTGATTGGTCAATACCCGTGCACGCAATCCTGCGCGGGAAATCTAAATGCTTCCAGGGGCGGATCCAGACCGATGCCAACGATGCGAATGCATCGGTCAAAATTGAGAAATCATGTTGCTTGAAATAATATATAGACATATTATACTTGGTTAAGCACTCAGTAATAGAATATCTTTGAATCTCTCGAGCTATCAAACCGCAAATATTTGCTTAAACTTGACTCCATGTCAGGAATACACTATTTAGGATGAAATCCAATTTAAATAGTCTCAATAACAGTCGAAATTGTCAAAATAAGTCCAATATGCGACGTGCGACCGCAAATGTGTACTTTTTGTTATTTACTTTTTATTTTGCGACACTTAAGCGTCAATAATTTCGCGACAAAATATGTTATTTTTTACCGCATCCTTTGACGTCACAGTAGAAAGCTGATGCATCACCTACGTCACGGTAGATTTGGTTTGCATCGATTTTCAGCCATTTTGCATCAGTGAATGCATCGGTCCCGAGTCCTTTTCCGCGTGAAATCTACTGTGACATCATCAAATCTATTGTTTTAGAGCCCTACGTCACGGTAGATTTGTCCGCTGAGCGATGCATCGCATGCAGATTGCGGGCGCTCGCATCAGTTCACTGATGCAAATTGCAAAATCAAAATCTACTGTGACGTAACGAGGCATTCGATTCAAGTCATGGCATGGCGGCAAGGATATGCAAACACTATATGTAAATGGTTATGAGACAAATAATGGGAAGAAATATCTCTCGAAATTGACGGAGAAAACGGAGAACAAATTACCGAATTAATTACCAAGGCTTGGAATGAATCTAATCTTTCATCTGAGTACAAGAATTGAAGTATATTTATACTGTGAGATGCCCACTATGTGAAACTCGAGCTGAGGGCTCTAAAGTAAGTGAAATTTATCTATATTTTACATTGTAGTTCATTGTTCAGTTCAAGAAGTGTATAAAGTGGAAAATGGGCTCCACAGTTAATGCAGATTTGTTTGTATTAACATAATAATTAAAGTTTGTGTCTATTTATAAATACTATTGCTTATACCAGCAGGGGGGGGGGATGAGGTAGTTTGACATTTTACAGTCTTTACCGAGTAAGAGAGGTTTGCTTGTCTGGAGGCAAACCAGCCCCAATACCAAACTTGACAGCTTGCTTTAGTGAGGCAAATTTCATCTCTGTTTACATGGGATTATAACCTGTGCCCAGACCTTCACTTTTCTCACAGCTGGCGGGCAAAGAAAAATGAAGACCTGATACACATGTTATTAAACGTTTGTGTCCTACAACAGCCTTTATGGTTGTAACTCTGATTAGCTATTTCTAGCATGAGTATTCATGCCATATTTAATGTATTTTTTTTGATATTTTGGTTAATTAATGCTATATATAATTAAATAATTATAGATTTAGTGATTGTAACTATAATTAGCTTGTTGTTAAATTATGTGAAATCGACATTTCTCCTGGCACATTTTGATTGGATACCGGTACTAAAAATAAAACTATGGTGTGGGTCAAGACTTGCATCAGGCTCTGTATGTAATTACAGTGCATAATAATATTGCTGGTTAATATCAATGAGATTTCTAATAGTGATGCAATATTGGTTAGAAGACTAAGGGGAGTTTACATTGAAAGGTAATTGGTTCAAGTTGCAAGTTCCAGTGGTATCTCCTATTACATTTCATTTTATATGGAAATGAGCTGGCATGCCTCATGACAAGAGTCTAAATTTGCTTTGCATTGCCTGAGTTATTGGGCAATTACTGTACACTGGATATTTTGCAAACAAAGATGATTACCTGGGCTTGCTCGCCTACCATAGTTGAGTATATATGCTTTGTCTGTGCAAATATAATTTGATATAAGCTGTATATGTCATTCTCCTGACAGATTTTAATCTTAGAATGATAAAATAATGGATGGTATAAATACTGTATGTAACTGTAACTGGTGTATATAGGATATAATTATGAAATTTGCTCACAAAAGTGGGATAGTTTGGAAAATATATTTAATTAAATTATATATTTGTAGTGCTAATTGTCCCAATACTATATACCCTGAGGATTACCATTGACAAGTGTATGGATATATTTGACAAAGATGTTCATTTATGTAATAACACAGGGAAAATATTCATCAATACTACTGTGCAGCCTTTCTACATTGACAACATCTTAAAAGAATACTATATTAATATTAGTTGAAAGGCAGGCAAAAGGGAACAGATAGAAGACATGATTCAATTATGTCATGGTATATTGTTTATCATGATTGTACAGTTTGGTAGGTTCATTTGACAAACAATTTCCAACTAAGATAGTTCATTAAATCAATGTACACACAGTCTCTATTGATTTAAAATTTGTGGTCGTGTGTACCTAGTTATACTAATAGTTTTTAAACCCAGTGCTTGTTGTGTGTTAGTTTACTGGTTTCCTGATCACAGGGCAATATTCTCAGTATTCAGAGTGTGGGCTATTCACCATGCAGTTCATGTCAAAGGCAGCTAGGGGTGAATGAATTTAATGAAATCGACCAACTGATGTCAACCACACTGTCCATACAGAGTAAGATTAGCAGCATAAGACAGAGTTGTATATAAATAAGTTTACCCACTAGAGCACAAAATACCTTTATGCACCATTCTAATGCTAGAAGATTTTACTCATGGAACATTGGAAATTAGTGGAAACTAATAATGGAAGGTGGTTAAAAAACAACACAATAACACTGCCTTCTGAGTCTAGCAATCGGCAACTAGTGGATCACACTGTATACACCTTTATTACACGCATGTGTGTATTTGCGTTGCTCGTGATTTTTTCCCGAAATATTTTTCAATAGAAAAGTTAAGGCTACAAGAAGCACAGTAGTGACTATTTTTGAATAGAGACTTATGTACCACTGCTGCTATTACACTTGTACAAGCAAATATTGTTTTCTTATATAGAGAAATTATGTTGTTTTTACGATATAGGTTCAAGTTTTTTACGTGCTTTCCAAAAATGCAGCAAATAATTTTGTGACTCTGATGTATGAATTGGAACAAAAGAGTTCGCTCAGAACGCAGCAAATCGCATTTCCGAGGTCCTAGATTTCAAAATTTCCCGGGGGGGGATACCCCCGGACCCCCCTACAAATGCGAGGTCCCAGGCATCAGTCACCTCAGAAACTGGATCCGCCCCTGAATGCTTCGCGCGAGCTTTCTAAAATGTCGGACAACGAAAACATTTTAACCGTGTGACGTTAACAGTGTATTAAACGAGAGACAAGTTAGCAAAAACGTTAATAAAGGTTGACGCTTTATTGAAGTCAACCGTTGATAAAACAATTACCAAATGGTTTTCCGTGCAGGAGATAGCGTCATCCACGCACTTAGGATTTTGCTTGACTTTCGGAAAGCGTAAAAAACGCTCACCTGCGCCTCGTGCATGCATGGCTCACGCTATCCTGCATGGGAAACCTGACGCACAAACTGGAAACAAAAATGTCCTGCAGACCAACGGAGTATTTTTGTGCTAAATCTGCATGCGCATAAAGATATAGTGTTCTAGCTGACCATGGCTCTAAATTCAAGGAATGTCTGCCAACCATACGTTGTTGCGCCCATAGTGGGACATGGGTGTTAAGGTTTCCTTCAAATCTTCAATAGAAAATCTTCATTCAAACGAATTTCCTGCAGCTGTTTAACATTTCCTGCGAGCAGTGCTCGCGTGCTCAACATTGTTGCCCAATATTGTTCAACATTGTTGACAACTGTGAACAATGTGGGCAGCAAAACATTGTTCAATCCTGTTTTCATCAATATTGCAACAACCTGATCGTTTTTAGGTGTGTACTCAGCCTGGGCTATTTTATCTTTACAACAATATTACTTTCTTAACTATGTTTATCCTAACCCATCCTGTCAACTTTCCCTGTGGGAGGAAACCTGAGCGCCCAGATAAACCCACGACTTGGCAGAGCGTTGACCGACTCTTTTCACATGATTCCGTAGCGAGCCAATGCGTATAAATGAATATTTATTTTGATATATATATACAGGATCAGGAACTACTTTTTTCTTGGGTTTTTTGTAGCAAGACGTGCCTATTTGAAGAGGCTATAAACTTTACTATTCTTCTCAAGAATACAGTGCGCTTTCCAGAATTCGAGGAAGAAGTGTAAGTTTCGTCGTAACTGAATGCACCCTTTCGATAATTACGTCACAACTGCACTGTTTTCAACTTAGGACCACCTTAAATGGAAAGGATTTCAAGTTTTTTTCTCATGGGATATGCACAGAGAAGCAGAACATCCTGCTTCAACATATGCGCGAAAACGAATTCTTTATTTTGACCAATAAATGTGGAAATAAGCTTTAACACGAAAACGAGGCTCCAGGTCATTATCAGGCCATAACAGACTGGAACAATCTACTAGTATTTCTACATTTAAGAAAAACTTTTTTAGCAATCTTTGAACTTTCCCTCGTATAATTTTTTAATATTTTTCATAGTTATGTAGTATATGCATGTCTTCAAAAAAACTTTTGGATTTTGATCAATAAATATGGAAATAAGCATTAACACGAAAACGAGGCTCCCGGTCAGCGAGTCTTTGCTTTCCCCAATTCCTTGACACTTTAGGTGGCCTTAAATTGTCCTTATATCGCGTATTGTAGTTCATTCGCATCAGTGTGAACCAGGCTTAACCGCATTTAATTATATGGCCCTAAATCCTTCTTTACACAGGCGAAATATTGATGACGAACATAACGATAAAGATTACTTAAGCAAATGCGAATACAATCATAAAGACCAGCAACAGCGGTTGTGTCCAAAAATTAGCCTCAAAACAATTTTCGATGAAATCTCTGGGACGGCTTTTAACGACACGGCGATCAGGGGCGGTGTGGTGGGCATAAAGATTACATGGGATTGTAACTTGGATTACGACAAACATAAATGCCTCCCACGCTATTCATTTTTCAGGTAGGAATAGTTTTAAACGATCTTGCTAACAGCAAGAAAATTAGTAGGCCAAAAAATGTTCGGATTTAAAAAAAAAGTATTTTATTCTTAATTTTTATTATTAAAAATGCTTAAGACTAGAATTTGTATAAAAAGGTATGGTTAAAGTTGACTTCAGTTAGTGCGAAAGTTAACCAATGAAAATCGCATATTTTACAGTTAACTGTTATATAACTACACTACACAAAATAAAAGGTAGTTAAGAGTTTAATAAGGTTAAAAAGTAGTTAAAACGAGCGTCTCACTTAATATTCTGTCTCGTGTGCCGTTAGGGGCGCAGGAACCGGTGGGTGGGGGGCACAGGGGGCACGTGCCCCCAAATTTTTTCAAAAGACCAAAAGTGCCCTTTTTTGTGATGAAAAGTGCCCTTTTTGTACAAGCTGATGTCGCTGTGAATGCTAAATTAACATAAAGGTGCCCTATTTGTTCGGAAATTTTGATGTTTTTAAAAAACATTTGGTCAAAAACATCCAATTTCGGTGTAGTATGACAAGAACATTTTTGTTCCTCCCCCTCCCCCGTCGTCAACATTTCCGGGAAAATCTTTTTAGTTGCCCTTTTCAATGTCCAAAAGTGCCCCTGGAAGCCGGTGTCCCCCCCCATATTTTGATGCTTTCTACCAGTGCTGTAGAACTAAATTTACCCGAAAGGGGGTGGGGGGGGGGGCTCTCTTGACGAGCATGAAGCCGTGAATCGTAAAAAATGCGTGACGTCACACATGAAACATTGAAACAAGATAAGGTATCGATTTATTAAGGACGCCATTTTAGTAATTTTGATTCTACTTCACGAAAAAGTAGTCCAAGTTTTGTTCAATAAATTCTCGATTTTCTAAAGTAGAAGGCGAGAGCGAGTGGAAAAAGTCGCGCAATCGACTTTATGCGACCACTTTCTTTTGAAATACAAGCAATCAAGTGCAACAACAGATGAGGTTGACTGCACGCATTTGAAAAGAGAGTGATCGCAAAAAGTCGATCGCGCGACTTTTTCCACTGAATGGAAATCCGCCTATAGGCGTTATAAGCTCGCTACCGAGTCGCCACAGTATTGCACGGTATTTACAGCGTTGTCTTTTGTTTTTACAGGTTAGATAATCCGCTCTCGAAGGTTTCACCAGGATATAATGTAAGGTAGGCACGACAACAGGGTGCGGTAATTCGCATATACACGTAAAAACGCACAAGTTAATTGTAACAAACCTGCAGCAGACTTGTAGCAATGCTGTCCCAACAACTTGTCAACAGGATGTGTTCGCACTGCTTGTTCCCAGCTTGTTGACAAGTTGTCAACGGCTTGTTGACAAATTGCTACAGGGTTGTTGAGTTCAACAGACTTGTTCCAACAACTTGTTATCGTCCTGCAATTCAACAATTTGTTGCAATTTGTGAACAAGTTGCGACTGACAACCCTGTAGCAACTTGATAAACTAACAGCATTGTTACAACTTGTTGAGAAGCTTGCTACAAGCCTGTTGCGAACACATCTTGTTGACAAGTTGTGAGATTTTTACGTGTGCATACAATTACGTATCAGAGATACCCCGCAATATCACGATCTTGTACATCTTTTCTTCAGCCATGCAAGTACACGCCGGTACGCTATATACTCTTGCTATCTGTGTACACTCTAAAATTAACAGCGTTTGGGGTAACTTAAAGTTCTTAGTTAAATTTCCTGGCTAATTTAACCACAGTCCTAGTTAATTTCATCTTAGGGCCTGTTCATATTCAAGGGATTGTAAATAGTATACGAGTGATGTTTGGAAATTTTGCCAAAATTGGACGAGCCGCCGATTACTTGTTTATTATTAGCATGACAAAATTGGATAATTCTCAATGTCAACATCATATTATCTCGCCAAAGCCCAGTCTTGCCAGACTTTCAACCAAAATTTGGTGCTTTTGTTCGTGTTTCAATTAGTTTCTCTAGGCCATTTCATTTGTATTTAAATATACCTTTCCGCCATTTTGTTCGTTTTGGGAAAATATACTGCAGTACAAGTAATGAAATAATTGTACTCCTCTCAACCAATCAGCATCCAGTAATTTTGTCATGCTAATAATAAGCCACGATAGTAATTAACCGGGACTGTGGTCAAATTAACCAGGGAATTTAATCAGAAACACAAGTTACTTCAAACAGTGTCAATTTTAACCAGGATTTTTAAATTTTTTTTCTGGTGCTTTTTTCTTTAGCCAAGTACCACATAGGTGTGCGGTAGTATATACATATTGATGGTACCATATGACCAGCAAACTTGCTAAGGTCCCAGTTACACGATACCTGATTCGCATCGGAGCGAGTCCACGAACATCAACTGAGACGCTTTTCGACCTCTTACAAACTTTTCATATTTGAAGTTTTCGACTAATTCTGTTATATTACCATAATTTTAAGCATGGCCGGATTTTGAGGGGAGGTGTGGAGAGGTGCGCACCTTTCCTGAGATCGTTTTGCACCTCCCCTGAGAATTTTTGCACCTCCCCTGAAAAGACATGCACCTCCCCTTCGGAAAGTTTCAATGATAGATCAAAGTGAAGATTTGACATTTTTTGGTTGCTTATAGGGTATACTCTTCGTAAGAAAGTTTTTCAGTAAGATTGAAACAGTGATAGCCATTCATCTCTGTGTAATGTTTTGAAAGACACTTTGTAGTAATTTTAACAAAATTGGATGATTGTACTGTCATAATGCATACATTTTTTCCACTTCCCCCACTATTTCCACCAAAATCCGGCCTTGATTTTAAGTGCTAAATTCCCCTTGAAACGGTAAAATTTGATGTCGCTCCGGGCCTAAGGTATTCAAAACCGTAATAGGACACTATTTACTTCACTTACAGAATTGCCCAATATGACATGACGGACAAGAAGTTTGCACGCAGAACTTTAATTAAAGCTTATGGAATACGGTTTGTTATTATGGTAGATGCCCAGGTAAGGTTATTCGAAAGGAAAATAAATAAGACGGAAGAAGAAGATTCCGTGTGGCTTGTACACCAATTTCTTCATTTATTGTAGGCTGGGAAATTCGACATCGTACCTCTGCTACGCAACTTTGGCGCTGGCTTAGGACTACTGACATTGGTAAGTTTATATTGTCATTAACTTGAGACAAAGTTTCATACGTTTATTTGCTTCTGTGTACTTTTTTCGCAGGCAACCGTATTGTGCGATATATGTGTACTGTACTGCCTTAAGAAGAAGTCTTACTACCGCAGTCAGAAGTATCTTTATGTCGACTCCGACCAGGACGAAAACCAGGCAAGTGCATGAAAAAGTCTTGTTTAAATACCCAAGATGAGCTAGCTCATCCTAACTGAGCATGCGTATATTGTCCATGCTGACGTGTACTGAATAATGTATTGAGGTGATCGGCAAAATGTTTTATTCAATGATACAATTTTGACGATAAGAAAAGGCTAAAGGCCCATATATTACGTGACTCAAACATGATTAAGGACATTATAAACTTACCATTTAAACTTTATTACGTTATAAAAAATAAGTCAAAGTAAAGCAAAAAAATTCGCGAAAATTCTTGAACGAGGAGCCCCTTGTGTAATCAGGGCCGCCGAGAGCTTGGCGGGGGCCCGGGGCAAAAAAATTTTTAGGGGCCCCTTTGCAAAAACATTTTCCGGAAAAAATTTTTTCGGACAATAAATTCTTTTTAGGTGCGTTATAATTGCTTTCGTTGGACTTTTCCGCAATTTTCCATACCAAATTTTGGTTCATTGCCCCCAAAACACAAATATTTTGGCCCGAAAACAGAAATATTTCGCCCGAAAAAATGACTGGGGCCCATTAAATTTCTAACATTAAATTTCTAAGGGCCCCCAGAGCCTCGGGGCAATTTGCCCCCCCCCCCCTTGTCCCCCCCTCTCGGCGGCCCTGTGTGTAATTTCCGGTTGTTTCACATTTTAGTAAACCACTTAGCTAACATTAACTTACTAGGAAAAGTCTGGTCTAAACTGTTCTCCCTAATGGCTAATGGTTCGGCAAGGATCATTGAACTAAACTGACTTTGTTTATGAAATGCTTACAGGAGCATGCCAAACAAGGAACTGCATATTAATTTTAATATTTAACAAATATAAAACATTTTCCGTGTTGATATACAGTTTTAGTATTTTTGCACAAGTGAACATAATAAATCCTACAACCTGATTGGTCAAACTTGACGTATTAAGCTGTTATATTCACCTACAGGTGAATATAACAAAACTGAAATTTTCAAAATGGCGGCTAGCCATTTTGTGGAAGTTTGCTGACAAAGAAATAAGCGAAATTAAAATAAATTCAGTCTCAAATAACACAAAAGATTGTGTAAAAATACTAAAACAATTATTCGCCTCAGGCTCGGTGATTATCTGGGAATATTCACCTCGACTTCGTCTCGGTGAATATTCCCCGATAATCACCTCGCCTTCGGCGAATAATTATTAAATATCAACACGAGTGGAAATTGGAAAACGAGAAATTGTGTGGAAACACGACACCCGAAGGGCGGAGTGTTTTCACACAATTTCGAGTTTTCCCAATTTCCACGATTTCTCTATATATTTCATAATTTCCAGTCTTAAATCCGTCTGACCGTGTAGCTCAGTTGGTAGAGCGTCGATCTAGTAATTCGAAGGTCGCGGGTTCAAGACCCAGCCGCGGCAGACAACATCTTTCTGCTTGCGCTGGGTATGGAAATTATATAATACACACTCTAGAACATTTTCATCTTAACATATTACAGAGTGTACAATAACATATATGTATATATATGTATATATATGTATATATATATATATATATATATATATATATATATATATATATATATATATATATATATATATATATATATATATATATATATATATATATATATATATATATATATATATATG